TTCTTGTAAAAAAAGGCGTATAATAAGTTTTAGTTCACAAGGAGACAAACATGAACATATCGCAGCCTCCCAAAATACACACACATACACTACACGCATGCATCTTGCACACAGGGGAGGCCGTCCTTAAATGACCTTAGCTGTTAATAGGACGTTAAACAAAATCAAACAAACAAACAAACAAACAATCATGTACATCATCATGATCATGTATATATGCCGGATAAAGATTAAAAAAACTAGAAGAAAATGTACCTTTACAAAACCAATGTGCAAGGTTCTTCTGATAAGTCAAGGTCATTTAACACTTCCCTTTTGTCGTCAACCCTTAAAACCCACTGCATATGTTCTATTGAAATAAAAGGTATTTAGAAATTGCTGTATAGTTTTAACATGTTAATATACAATTGTTATCTTATTTGCCTTTAGGGGATAAGCAGGTAACTGGAGACATCAAGGCATTGGGGAAAGGGAAAGCTTTACTTGATGCTAGCAAGATTTTGGCATGTTCTGTTCAAAATACATCATATATATTTTTGATCGGAATAGTATGTGCAGCGATGAAAAAGCAGGTACAATTTTTTCAGATAAGAAATAGATAAAACTGCTTCATTTATATATGGGAACTGCACTGAACTAATGGTGAATACTGTAAATTCAGAAATTGTTGCGTGAATTTATTATTGAAATATTGACATGACAGGCAAAAATGTCGGATTCATTATTTTAATTTACATAAAAGCTGTATACAAATACATGTATCATATTTCAGACTGCGAGTTATTACAATATACACCCACTCGCATTATTCTCAAGAATTTCTTAATTAACACTACTTTATCCCATATACATAGTCATGTAGTCATAACATTATGGTTTGGATCTATCCTGTCGATGTGAAAATGAAATGATATGGGGCATTGGCACTAAGACACCACAAAATCATTTGTTACAACACTCAAAAAGGCATCCAGCACTCACAGCATGCTCTTCAATGCAGTTGGAACTACACCTCATTGAGACAACAAGCCACCAGCTCTTGATGGCATAAAAATAGAAAGAGCAAGGAAAACCAAGGGCACAACACAATGTTTACAAATATCACCCACCCATGCACTTGTTTTGGTCGCTATGCTGTTAATTATGTTACAATAGGGAATAATGTGTAGTGTGTTGGAATATAAAGTCAAAATCTCATTTGTTTTGATCAGCAGCATTAACTTCTTTTATCAATTCTTATGTATTTATATTACAGGTCACTTACAATTACAATATCAGACTGGAAAGGAACACAGGAACACCTTTAGATTCATGTTGTGAATATCCAGCAGGCAAAGGGCCTAATGCTACATGCAATCATATAACAGCAGTCATGTTGATGTTGGAACATTTATCTAACAAGGGATGTATTGTTTTTTGAAAAGTCTTGCATTGAAGGCCTGCAATCTTTTCGTAAGCCAAAAGCACAATACAATGGTAATCTTTATTCATGTTTTATGGCTGTATGCTTATTTTTTTATTTACTTTTTCGTCTTACGGTTATACAAAAAAATATCACTTAGGATTCTAACCTGGCCAAAAGGGCGATTTCAGCTATTCCAACACTTGGCGTCATCATCTTTACATTTTAAACAAACATATTGCAATTCATAAAAGATCACACTTGACACAAGTGCTACCAAACTTGCATCGATTCGAGGGATTTAGTTTCATTTGTTACGTAAAATAGAATTCATGTTATGTAAATATTTTTTGTCTTAATTAAATGAATGTGATATGCCATTGGTACTTAACATAATCATGATCAAATTTAATTACAGGTCAATCTTTAAAAGTTGAATCGATAGCACCAAAGAGAGTGACTACCTATTAGATGATCCACGACCGCTGAAGTATAGGAATAATCCAAGTTATGGAGATTTAGTCAGAAATATGATGATCAATTACTGTGCCGTATCATCTCAAGACCAGGGTCCGGGATCATGAAACGGACCTAAGTCTAATTCTGGACTTAAGTCCATTTGTTTTTTGACTAGAGTCTAAAAACAGACTTAGCTTGGGGGACATTAAAAAAAAACTTAACTATCTTAAATCCTAAGACTGAAAGGAAGAGACATTTCGTCCCGAATATTTCTAGACCATTTACTTTTAAAACCCTCCAATTTAGTTCAGGTCGAATGGAGAATTTTCTACGAGTACATTGAGAGAAATTCAAATGATATCGTTGCATTAATCGCTCGTCTGCGACGGAGAGGGAAAAGAAGGGCTATTCGTCCAAGGTCTTCCGGGACCGGCTCAATCCGTTAGAAATGAGGACGGACGATGAAATGTATATGAGATACAGATTCAGGCCACCGACATTATTGTTCCTACATGTAGTTGATTTGGTGGCTGTCCACATTTCCCATCAAACTAGGAGGTCCATGAGTATTCCACCTCTGCTACAGGTGCTGATTTTTTTGAGGTTTGTGACCACTGAGGGTTTTCATCAGTTCATGGGCGATGCCATTAACGTCTCACAGGCCACAGCTGGACGATGTATCCGAGGGGTTCCCGACGTTTTATTAAATTTCAGAAGACGTTTCATTCACCTTCCAACTGGACAGGAGGCAGAACAAGTCAAACGAGCAATCCACGCCAATGCAGGTGCGTATTTCCAGGAAAAAGACATAATAAAATGCAAATAGACGCTCACGTCAACTTCCAAGCGTCTCGTAGTTGTAAACACAGCGACTGCAGCGCCCTCATCTGATTGCGCAATACAACCATACCGTATTCAAACTAATAAACGCCCTCATGAAGTAGCTCTTTGGATAAATATGTTCATATATAAAAACTTTTTGCCGTATTGAGTTTTCGAACTATTATGTAATTTTTATTCTGCAACTCCATTTCCATTTTATCACTGTCTTAACTCACAATAGAATGTCGTATATGTGATTATAAGCAAGGACGTAGGAATAAAGACCAAGGAATAAAGACCTCCATATCAACCCATTAAAAGGGTCAATATCAGTCTAGGTTTGATAAGTGTATGATATGAAAAATCATGACATTATCTAAGTCTATAATTATGTAAATATTTAATTACAACATCGAAATTATTAGCAATATCAGAAATACATGTGAGCAGATATAAGTCTGTCAGGAATATGGCACATGCACCACTAGCAGTATCACACAAGCAAACAACACACATTACAGAAAAAAGGAATTTTGGGAAATGACATATATGCAAATGCGAATGAAGTTGCAGTTCGTAGTGGTTTATATATATACATGTGTATATGTTTCTGGTTTTACTCAGACTCTTTGGAGTCTATATATCTTTCTCATTTCATCACTGAATATTGTGTTATACTGACACGTAATAAAAACATGAGTTTTTGTTTGACAATTCGAATTTATTTGTAGACTGTATGCATATTGACATACAACAAATAAGAAATGTACTACAGATTCAACATAATATTTTAATCATTTTGAAGGCAAAATAATAAATTATTTAAAAATAATAAATGCATATTTGAAAATGGTTTGTATGTATAGTAATACAAATTTGTATTAATCTTATGCAAACTATTATTCTATTATGGCCCTTTCCCGAGGGAATTGTTCTCTTATAGTGTTGTCTGGAGAGGTATAGTGCCCGAGCCGTTCTCTCCAGAGAACACTTTAAGAGAACTGTTCCCGAGGGAAAGGGTCATATTAGATTTAGTACGTCACATGACTGTCATTTGACAATAAAAAGTAACATATTTAATAATTAACAACAAATGGCAATAAGATAATTTTTTGAGTAGATCTCTCCTTTTTTGTTGCGTATTCAATTCACTGGATTGAATCACCGCTAGGTCACATACGGTTCCCCTTTCCAGTAGGAAGTCTTTAAGGACTGCGACGTCAAATTGTGTCGCCTGCTTCGTCTTTTTGCATTGCCGAACCTCTGCGAAGCAATCGGCATTCTTCGCCCCGAAATTCGAAGCCATTTTGGCAGACGACAACAATGAAGTGAAAGTAGAATATGTACAACTCTTCCTAGGAGAAAGTGGTTGTGGCCAAGCCACAAAAAGGCCTCTGGCAGCAGATGGTTTGAGGTGTCTGATAGTATTGTTGACCGCATTTCGATGCAAGTTTTCACTTGTGAGAACAAGGATTCAAATATGTGAATGACTGCCACAGTCCGGAAGCCAGTCTTATCATTTGAAATAGACAATAGAAAACCTCCATTGGCTTTTGTGGCCTTGTCTATATTCTCCAGAGTAATAGCTGATATGGCGCCTGAACGTTGGACGTTTGTTAGGAGCACATCCAGCAACAGTGCTAGACTGGCAGAATTTCTTAATGGCCGACTCATTACCCAGGACCAGACGTTCGATCACTCTTTCCCTTGTTTTCTTTTAATAGCTGCTGACCAGCAGTTGACTGATAGTATAACAACCCTGGCCATGCCTGTCAGAATCTTCTTAATTTGTAGATAATTCAGAAAGTTTTTGAGAGAACCCAAGTAGCTTTTTCCTGTCCCCGGCATTTTGTCCTGCTTGAATTCCTCCAACCAGGCTAGGAGGTATCAACGTTGAGGAAAGCCTCAACATCTTTTGCGGCCGATTTGTATGCGATCGCTCGCATAAGAGAGGCATGCTGAGCTGCTGCCTTGTTGTTTTGGACAGGAACTGGCGCATGTGCCTTGCCATATCGAGCACCTCAATGCTACACAGCTGGCATTGTTTTCTTTTTCTAGGTTGTTTGGGGGTTTGTCTTCGTGGACTGACACATGGAATATGGACTAATGCTCTCCGGATATCTTTAGAGCCTGACATCATCCGGTTCAAGCCAAATTTTTTCTTTAATAGTGTTGGGGTTACTAGCTCGTCGTCGCCAGATGCTTCTTCAGATTCGTCAGCGGACGGCTGATAATTGGGGTTGCTTCCCTCAGAACTAGTTGGACTACGTCCGAATCGTGGGGCTGGTTAGGGTTATTTGATTTGAGTTGCTCCAACTTAAGAGCCTTTCCATTTAAGAAACTCAGAGCGGATCTGAGTAGCCAATACCCCCTGCACTGCTGAGCCCTGAGAAACCGCTGCTGGTCCTTGGCCTTTCTCGATTTCAGAGGCTTCCGGTGCACAGGGGCCGTTTTCATCTTCAGGGGCACTTGCAGTGCAGGATTCCTCTGGCACCGAGGATATGTCTGCATCCGGGGCACCCGGTTTTGACGATTCCGCAATTTTTAATTCTTTTGTCTTATTTTTGGCAGCTCTCTGTCGAGCCCCACCAACTTTCTTTTGCGACTTGGCATTGTAAGGGATTGATAAAGGGGTTTCTTTTATGTATTTTGCTTTGGAAAGATCGATTGCACAGTACAAGAGAAGAGTAGAGAATGGGAAAAGTGGAAGGGGTACCACGTGGTGATGTAAAGGAGTTAAATCTGCATGTCAGGGTTGTTCGCTGGTCTACAGGCAAGTAAAGAATCAAAAGCGTTTCGCCCAAATTATTTCTTGTTTGAAAATTTGAGAATTTCATTTTCGTTTCCTTTTTTTTTGAGAAAACTGGTATATAACACAATTTTAAGCTATTTTTGATATATTAAATAGCTATCGTAATTAAAAGACTTAATGTGACTACCACATGTCATGTTCTTTTATAGTGCCTTTTTGTTTTATCGTCCTAATGAACTATGATTAAGAATTTTCAATACATTTCTTAAACTCATAATAATTTCGTTTTTTTTAGTGTTATTTCTATTTTTTCGACATATAACTTAGTTTGTTTCCGAATTTTCAGAAACCATGAGTAATAAAGGTTTTATTTTCAATAAAACTCTGCGTGAGTTCAAATTGCTCATAAATGTAGTTACCTCTTCTTCGATATCGTCTTCATCTGTGGTCCATAGCCTGTCCTCCGGATCCTCTCTTCGTAGATTTACTGACTGAAATAGAATTATAAAGTGTACAATTTACATATATATATATATATGTATATGTGCAGAAAAATAAGATTAACGACCGGTTAAAAATCTAGCTGCTTTCACCCTTCACAGGGCTCTTCAGGTTTATTCAAAAGAACAACGTTGTGTCGTCACAATTACATGTCATCACACTACAATAGTAACGTGACGTCATGAAGTACACAAGATTGGTGGACAATTTATCGTAAAATTTTACTGTGGCCTCTTTAGACTTGGTTTTAATATTTTGATTAGTTGGTCTCCTTTCGTCTCTCTTAAAATAGTGTCTGATGAAAATAGTTGATACAAAGGTTATCTGATGAAAATATGTATATGTGCATATATATATCATGAAAAAGTCATGATTCACAGGTGATTTCTACATTCTCTTTCGTTTTATATGTAAATGATACAATTTTGATTTTCAAGCCTTTGGAACAGAAAACGAATGTATATTTTCCCCCAAATGTGCAATATCACTGCAACTATCTGCGGAAATAACACTCAGCTGACATCTTCTAGTTCCGCGATTTTCACTTATAATATCTTTGCATTGTGACGACATGGGAAAGTCAAATTTGAAACTATCAAAACAACAAAAGAAATTCTCACAATCATATATGTATTCATAACCTTATTATTAGATGTTTTGCATTTATCGCGAACAGCGATTTTAGAAATATTCCGTATGTTCTATATACTTACATCCTCGTCTGCACTGTCAGATCCGCTAAAATAGGAAAGTGGCAGCTGCTCCTATAATGACAAGTATGTACTTAACCTCACTGTGTGATTTCCCGGTTTAGATTGCCAAACTTCAGAGTTTACTATTTTGTAGTATACATACATGTAAACAGATTTAGCTGTTGCAATATCGACAATTAGGTAGTAATTAAAAGCTCTTTCCAGTAGTTTTCATGACAAGTTTTATTGACGACTGACAGGCAAAAAATAGGCAGACGGACAGAAGGAAAGACAGGTGATCCATTACCTTCCCCCAAATTTACTTTGGGGCTACAAATATGACACTTGATTTTTTATTTAATATTTTGCGCAAAATATATCAGCAATATGAGAAAAATACGTATGTGTACTTAAATGGTCTGACCCACCGGGTGTTTCTTTCGTTGGGAGTTTGGACGATGGCATTTCTTGCGGCTAAGGCTAGAGTGAAAAAAGCACTGGTACAACATTGGCCTGAAGGCGAAGAGATGCAGTAAACGACAATTAGATAGTAATTAAAAGCTCTTTTCGGGAGTTTTCCTGACAAGTTTTATTTACAACTGACAGACAAACATGTATGCAGACGGAAGACAATAGACATGGTGATTCATAACATTCTCCCAACTTTGCTGCTGGGCTATTAATATCTCATTTGCTTTTTCCACAAAATATATTCGTTAGCAGAAATATAATCCATATGAAAAGGTTTTTTCGCAAGCGGACATGCTTATCTGTCTGTTTGTCTGTCTGTCTTTCTTTCGTTTCCTTCTTTCTTTTTATATTTATATCTTAATTTCTTTCTGTTATTCTGTCTGTCTCTCTGTCTTTTTAATACGTCTAACTTGTTTTCGGTATAGTCTAAATTGTTGTCGTTCGCCATGTTGTCACACTTAGTTGTTTTACTATAGAAAATAATGAATTCATAACTTACTCTCTTTTTAGATTGAAGGTCGTCGTCATCGTTGACGTCATCATCAACCCAATAGTCGTCCTCCTCGGACTCATCGTAGTCCATCTCGTCATCGCCCAGGTTTGTTTTGGTGGCGTTAAATTGCTACAAGGAAAACGTTTTGCAGACATTTAGTTGTTTGTTATTTTTATAAAACAAAACAAAAAAACACACTACCCTAGGTTAAGGCAACGAGTGTGTGGGTGGTGAAATTTAATGGATCATTTCATGCCGTAAATCATTGTATGATAGATTTCTTTGCATTGAAAGTAATGAATTTATAATATTCCTTTTTTTTAAAAATGGAATGTTGTCTTCATCCTCATCGTCCTCTTCCACATCGTCCTCCCCCTCCTCGTCGTCATCCCCATCATCCTTCTCCTCACCCGCGTCGTCGATGGGCCGTTAAACATAAACAAACAAACCCTCGTCGTCTTTTTTGTAATTTTTTACGTTTATTCGTGTCAGTTTCAAACATGGCTGGAGCCATTTTTTATGCTTTATTACTGCCGTGGGCACAGGATTGTAATTAAGCATTCCCTTAATGGTGATGAATTTTCATTTGCTAACATGTATTTGAATTATTTGATTTCAAAAGTGTTAATAGGACGTTAAACAAAATCAAACAAACAAACAAAATCAAAAGTGTTTATTGTTGTTGCATCGATGTATACTGATGTATTGCCACTGATAAATAAACATTTACCTCGTCGTCACTTTCATTGTCTTCCCGGCCACTTTGAGAGGCCATAATACCTTTTCCTGAAAAAAGTGAGCAGAGCTTCAACCCTTTCTCTCATTTTTCTTTATTAAAATTTAAAGAGGGGGTTCTTAAGACATACTGTGAAACCATATTTTCATCTGCCTCAAATTTCGTGGTTTTACAAAAATATGCGTTTTTGTTGGCACATAACTTTTCGGATTATTTAATGTTTGTACAAAGAGGACACCATCTAAGCTATAATTATCTCATATTAAACTATTCCTATTGATGCCACATTCGGATACTGACATACAAACTAAAGAGACATATGTCTATTGATATCTTCAAAAATATCGTTTGCGTCTAACTTTCAGCCATCTTACGACACTTTAATTAACACCATCTAGAAATGTTCTAGATTTATATTTGAAAAGAATTTGTACGTAGAGACCGACAGTTACAAAAGACTGATTTTTACATGAATAAAGGTTCAAGCCCAAATATCGTTTTTTCAGATATTTCCCGTCGACGTGCAAGACGATCGGAGATGTACATGTGACAAATTATTAAAAAGTCG